TTCTAATCTATTGGCTTAATAAATTTACCTTTAGTCAGTTCTAATCTATTGGCTTAATAAATTTATCTTTAGTCAGTTCTAATCTATTGGCTTAATAAATTTACCTTTAGTCAGTTCTAATCTATTGGCTTAATAAATTTACCTTTGTCAGTTTTAATCTACACATATAGTTATCTTATATATAATCAGAAGTTTATAACAATAAAGTTAGCTATTTTCAACTAAAAAAAACAGAACCGACTCGATCTGTTATTATTATGATTCTGTGTAGGCTGTCTTTACGTCTAGGTTTATGATCTTACAACGCTAAAGTCTAGGGTTCGATTCCTTGTGGTGGGCAGCGTGCAGATAGACTATTACGTAGCTTTGTGCTTAAACAAACAAACCTTTTGCATCTCAAAATATATCAGTACGAAAAATGAGACTATGTGCGCTTAGAACCAACAGAGATATATCAGAAAAACCTACAGATTAACATGGTTGACAACCTCTCCGTTATAACTCATTCACCCACCAACCTTTAGTCTAAATATGCCTTCTGCACTCTCCTAAGTCAGGATAATGATTCTTATACACAAGTTTAGATCATCACAATATGTGTATAAATTTAGGCGGTAACTATTTAAATGACCCAATAGCCTTTATTTACACCTTTATTTTTAAATCCTTCTAACTGAGAACAATACCAGTACTTCATGCACCACCAAAACATCGTTGTACCAACCGACTCCACACGCCAACAGAAACCAGATAACGTGCATCAAAGCGTGCCCATTGTCAGTCGGGACTGGAGATCTTGAATGAAATAGAGCAGACCCACAATCGATGAATGAGAAGCCAAGAGAAACGCTCGTTCGACACACGAGTGGCCGGAGCAGTGGGGTTGGACACGTTACACATTGTCCTCCCGTGATTATGTTCAACATGCAACCATACTGAGTGGAAAATGTCAGAAAAATAAGTCATTGTTTTGTTTTTTATACTGAGCCTGTCCTGAACCAGTATATTTATTGGTAAGGAAAATGATAGTAAAGTTTCAAATACACCTGATAAGAAAAACTGGGTGCACATGTGTACACATATATGGTATATAAAAATGCTGCTGAAGTTACTTTATTACATTTCTTTTTTACTGTGACCAGATAAATTGAACACCAAAAATTCTTAGCAATTATATTTTACATGTATCATTAGAACATTACATTTACGTGTAGCCTTGGAAACGTACGCTTATATATAATTATTATCTTAGGCTTTGATTTTTAAATGACTGAACTTCTAAGTGCAACGTCTTCCTCGAATATTTTATCAATAAATACTACAGGGTATAGGATGTGCAATGGTACTAGCAACTGGTTCTGCAATAATACTAGCAACTGGTTCTGCAATAATACTAGCAACTGGTTCTGCAATAATACTAGCTACTGGTTCTGCAATAATA